TCTCCGTCTCCGTCTCCGTCCCTCTGCAGTCTTCACGGTTCAGGCCCAGGCCCTTCCTACCCGTCTCTGCATTTTCTGGCGCTGCCCTCCCGCCGTCGCATTTGTACCTTTGAGAAAGAGGTACCTCACTTTACCTGCTAAGGTAATTCGAGAGTGTCTGCCGCTGCCTCTAGCGTAGCCGCATGGAGATTTGTCTCTGTTGAGCTGTGCCGTCGCTGTTAGCTGTTGCATTGCGTTGTACTGCAACTTGCCTACAGATAGATACCTGGACAACCCTTCCCCATTCCTCGCTGCTCGCCAGCATTTGTGTCTGCCCGACTTCGCCTCTGTCACATCAGTCATACATCCGCTGCTTCTGTGACAATTCTATATTTCTCGCCCAGAATCTAAGCTTCGTCACCTGCGGCAAGCTTCTCCTCTCTGTTTTGGCTCAAATCCCGCGCCGAACCCCCGACATCGTCATCCCACCTGGCGCAAAGTATTCTTGCGACCCTACTTTTACCTTCTTCACCTCACACTCGACTTCCCCCATCGCATCAGCTTGTTCGACGACGCGGTGTTGGATTTCTCTCGACCAATGCCCCTGTCCGCCGCCGACCGCCTTCTCTCGCTTGGCAGCTTGTGATTCCGTCCACTCGGAGCCAACCTACCTTGCCCCAAGGCGCTGCTCCCACTGGTCTGAATCACCTCCTCGCATCCATCCCCTCGACCGAGTTTCTTCGAGGAACCAGCAAGCAGCCCGCCAGGCGACTTCGCTGCCGACCGACATCGAAATAACCATCGCCGCATCGTTGCACCCGAACCCGAACCCGCCCAACACCACTCCATCTGCTCTCCCTCCGCGATTCTGTTGCCCCCCTGCTGTCATCATTGCGGAGCCCTTCAACCCCTGCTGGCGGTAAAGCCGCAGCGTTCCCCGTCGACGCGACCGACCCCCATCGCCCGACATCGACGTCCACCGCTGCCAGTGCCGTTGCTGCAGCGCTCCATCCCGTCTTCACGATCATCCACGACACACGACACCTTTCCCAGCCCAGCCCAGCATGCCGACTCCCTCATCCAACCCTCCTCCCGACCCCCACTCTCCCCGATCGCACAGTTTCTCGACATGTCCTGAAGACAGCAACTCAAGATCTCCCCAACGCAGCTGGCGTCCACCCACCGGCCCAGATGCAAACGACGGTCCGGCAGCGATGGATCCCCATCATGACCGCGACCGCATGGACGAGGACGCCTCTCCCGCCCCCGTCAGCGCCCCAATGTCTCCCACCGAGGGCATAAGCACCGAGGTCATTCTCGACGACGAGCCCACATCCGCCGTCTCTTCCTCTAGATCAACAACCATGTCGCCGAGGCCGCAATCGGGCGACACCGCCCACTCGTCGCCCGCGGCCGATATGGAGTCCTTCAAGCAAGGCGAATCAGACGAGGAGGGACACTCGGCCGGTGACAGGCTACGGGCGTCCCGTGCTGATGGATCGAGGCGGCATGATACCAGGCAATCCGCAACAACACTACACGACGACGGCAAGGGCATGGATATCGATGCCGATGACGTGTGGGAGGAGGAACTAATGGCGCCCTCTATGGGCTCAGAATATTCCAACATGAGGGTATGCTCCCTCCATCGACGACTGATCTGATGCACGGGTTTGCTGACTGCCACAGATAATTCCATCATCACCATCGTCCTTCTTGCGGCCAGGGAGCAAGTTCCGCGGCACACAGCAATCCGAGCGACAGGTTTACGACGTCCAGGTCGAAATCAAACATGTCGACCTGAGGGAGTCATTCCTCTGCGGCTATCTGCGTATTCAAGGTACAAACAACCCACAGCTCCCCCGCCCATTGTGTAACATCCGCTAAACTTTGTGCAGGCCTCACCGAGGACCACCCCACGTTGACGACATACTTCGAGGGCGAGATCATCGGCACCAAGTACGGCTTCACCACAAATCACGAGAGCTGGGGCGCTACCGATAAGATCGACCTCAACCACTGGGCCAAGTTTAACGCCTTCCGTCCTTTCCAGAAGCAGGCGCGTAAGGGCCCTGTGGTGATCCGCGACGTGGCCCAGCGCGAGAACATTTTCATGCGCTGGAAGGAGCATTTCCTCGTACCCGACCATCGCGTACGCACCATCTCTGGCGCTAGCTTCGAGGGATTCTACTACATTTGCTTCAACCAGGTAAAGGGTGAGGTGAGTGGAATATACTTCCACTCCAAGAGCGAAAAGTGAGTGCCGACGATACCCTTTCAAAAGCCCGAGACCCCGAACGGGCTTTTTGTTGTTCTTTTCTTCTTTTGCTGACGCCATTCGTCACCAGGTTTCAGCAGCTCGAGCTCAAGCACGTGGAGGACAGGGGCTGCTTCAGCGCCATGGAATTCAGATAAGAACAGGAAAAAAGGTCTGACCCCCCGGAACGACATCCGGAAAGGAAAAGACGTGTGCAGGACAGGGCAGAGGTACGAGCGCAAAACCCGACGGCACCGGGGAGAAGAGTCATCCGGCACGGGAGTTTGCTTGCTGGAATTGATTGGATGCATGCGGTGCCTTTTTTTGACAAATGATATCAAACGACGATGCCTTGGGACATGCCTTGGGAACGACGAGGGGAGATAATTCAAGGCAAGCGGCAAAGGGAATTATGACCACATACGGGAGAGACAAGAGCAGGAGAGGGAAAGCCATAACCACATGCGCGAAACAGTATTACTTTTTTTTATCAGGCACGGACACAAGGCATCATCAAAGACGGGAGGGAGGGGACTTGCTGTACATGTTTATTCTTCTTCTATTAGGCTTCTTCCTTTTCGAACTTGGTGAAGTAGCCCCGCCGAAAGGGGTTCAGTTCATCTGCTGTTGTCCCCTCGACGAATGTGCGTTTGTACGCGGCTAACCTCTCCGGATCGACCTGCGAGTCGGGGATGCGGCGGTACGTGATGAGCCGCCGTGACCCTGTTGTCGGGTTAGCACTCAATCTGGCGAAAGAAGGAAGGAAGGCCGATGACTTACATTTGTTGAACGGCTGCACGCAAATAACCACCAGTTCAAGCCTAGGATGCTCCGGCACAGGAATCTCCTGCTCCTCGTCGTTCGCCGTCGGCATCCAGAAACTCAACCGGCCGCCGTCCACAAGCGTGTCGCCCGCAAACTCCAGAATGTCGTCCAGCATCGCCAGGAAGCTATACGGCTTCTTGGGCGCGATGAAGTCCTTGTCCTTGTACCGCGTCTTGCCGGCCTCGACGACCCAGGGCGTCTTCTCCGGGTCCCTGCACCCTAGCACGCGCAGGCCCTCGCGCACGCCGTAGGGCGGGTCGCACACGATGCCGTCGAGCCAGCGCCGCGCGCCGGAGCGGAGGACGGGCGTGTTGGTGAGGTCTGCGGTCCAGAACTCGCCGACGCGGTGGCGCAGGCCGTACTGCGCGAAGTTGCCGAGGACGGAGCGCTCGCCGCCGGCGCCGCGGATGGAGCGGCCGTCAATGTCGGAGCCGAAGCCGAGGGCGCCGAAGTGGGCGCACGCGATGGGGAAGGAGCCGGTGCCGACGAAGGGGTCGTAGAAGAGCTTGCCGGGGGCGGCGTGGGCGAGGTTGGCGGTGACGAGGGCGAGCTCGGAGTCCATGGAGGTGGTGGAGATGTAGCCGCGCTTCTTGAGGTCGTAGGTGAGGGAGAGGTGGCGGGCGCCGGTGCCGAGGAGGCGGGCGAGGTAGATGCGTTTCGGGGCGGGGCCGTGGAGGTCCCAGTCCTCGAAGAGGGTGAACTCGATGTCGGGGGATTTCATGCGGATGGGCCCGGATAGGGGGAGGTATTTGAAGGAGTTGATGAGGGCGATGAAGTCGGCGTGGGGGCGGGTTGTTTGGTAGGTGTCGAGGTTGAAGCGGAAGGAGGCGGTTGCGTAGGAGGGGGACCAGAGGGGGGTTGTCGGCGGGGAGGAGGAGGGGAAGAGGGATTTGAGGGTTTCGTGGAGGGATGGGTAGGTTGTTGAGGAGGCCCAGAGGGCGTGGATGGATTGTGTGAGGAGGGAGCGGGCGACGAGGCGGGGGGCGTCGTCTGGGGAGGGGAGGGTGATGATGCAGAAGGGGGTCTGGGAGGATGTTAGTGAGGATGGCCGGTGGTGAGTGGTAATGTGAAAGTTGGGTTTGGTTTTGAGGATAAATCAAAGAAAGGTTTCAGTGCCGGATGTTTGAGTATTGGAAAGCCGTTGGTAATGCAACATATTCAGCAATCTTTATACGCAACATCGTGAAGTGGTTGAAGTTGCTCATATGAGCCCCTCTTGAAATAGACCAACAACACTCACCTCTGCGCTGTACTCCACAACCTTCATCTGAATCCCCTCAAGATCAGCGAGAGCCTGGAGCTCCGGCAGCCGGAACGACTCGTGGGCCTGAGAGAAGCGCACGAGATACTCCATTGCGGCGGTTGTCGTTGGCGCAAAAGCCGTCAAGGAGGGGCAGTAGTCGCTGGAGAAAAAATCCTGGCGCGGCGCGGGGTGATGTTCTGCCCCTCGTTTGCGCTGTGTTTTGGGCTGCTGGCGGTGTTAATCACGGTGCTAGCGAACAAAAACTAAAGATTATTACTCACAGCACTGTTCTGAGTATTGTGTTTCGGTCTTGATGCTATTAAGCCTGAAATGAAGGTGTCGTTGGTCAAAAAGTCGTCTTCTCTCCGTCTTGCACTTCTGACTCGATTGGGATTTGTGGGTTTGTGACGGTGCTTTCTTGTGGAGGATGACTTTGGCTCGAGACACCCCTGGGAGTCGAAAGGCAGACTGTTCCTCCCAGACAGCTCCCAGATTTGCGGTTCGCTGCGGGTATTGTGGGGTCTCTTCTCCAATCGGAGTGCACCTGGTGTGGATCTAGTTTTCGAGATGCAATTCTCACTTTCGAGTTGTCGAGCTCTCTCTCTTCCATCGCGGCCTTCAACACGCCTTACACCTGGGAACCGATTCCCACAGAAACCAAACACATCGGCGGTTGCGTCTGAAGAGCCATTCAGCATGCTTTCGTTCCCCGCACCGAGCGTCTACCAGTCGCCAAAATGCTTCGTGAGCTACGGCACGATGGCTCACGTCGAGCCCAAGCAGCTGCCGACCAAGGGCAAGCCGTGGGCGCCCATCCTGAGTCAAGGGTTCAACCACAAGGTTCGGAATCACTTTTTGAAGGCATATTGCTTTTGTATTGGCATAAAGCTAATTGAAGTCTCAGGTTGATCTCATCTTGCCTCAAGAGTGCTATGAGTTGGTGCACCAAAAGCTGGCCAAGGAGCTCGCTCCACCGACATTTCACAGGGTCGTCATGACCCTCGGTCAGGTCCTCGACGGAGCTTTTTTCACCGAGTACATCAAGAGGGGTACGCCGAAGTAGACACCTTGGAGTTGCGTCACTGTATGACTAACAAAGTAGGCAATATCCTGATGTTGTCGGAAGGCAAGACGACGGTGGACAACGTCTTTTCGCTACGAGAAGGGCTGCTCACCATGTATCTCGAAAAGGAGTCATACGAGCGGGCTGGCTTGGTGGGGAAGCCTCACGGAGTCAAAGGGAAAAGGGGCTTGAAGCCAAGATGGGGTTCGTCAGACTTTTGTATTTTGACCCAGAGCATCGCTAACTTTCCCAGTGGTGAGCTACCAGTTACGAGACCCATCGATGCTTCACGGGAAGAAGGGCTTCGACAGACTTTTGTACGCATGTAAAAATGCTCTCAACACGCCTGTGACGTGGTTGTTCTGCAACGCGACAGCTACTAGTATGTTCGCCTAGCCCCTTTTCATACATTATGCTAATAAGCACCAGTCCCCTCACCGGACCCCCTGGAGCAGTACTTTCCAACAAGATACACCTGCGAGCCGTCTGTCGTCACTGACTGTCAAGTTCAGATGGCGCCCCTCACAGTCCCCAGCGAGGTCATTGCGAGTGGCGACAGACCCAGCCTCGAAGACTATGCAACAGAGACGTATGAATGGCTCTCTTTAATTCGCCTCCAAAGTCCTCGCGTCGCAGCAGGCGATAACATCGACCCGTACTTGTCTCGCTATCAAACTCCAACGCCTCTCGACTCTGCATCCCCTCCACATGACAAGATCTGCAAGATCACCTGGCAAGGTTTCTTCACCCCCGTCTGGGTCCGCAGCGTGCTCATCAATGCCCTCGTCGCGCTCCCCTCGCGAGCCTGGTTCTCGCTGAGCGCAACCTCCTTCTCCAAGGGTCTGGTCGGGGACAGCGCCGAGGTGGCGTTCCTCCGACCCCCTGAGTCGCCTGGCCATTACCTCTTCTGGGAAATCAAGGGCGACGAGTAAGGTTGGTTCTCTTGTGTATCTAGAAGAAAGGAAGAAAACAGCTAGCCCTGCTTCTGACGCACGCTGCGCTCATCGCCGAGTCCCTGGTCGAGAATGGCGTCTTCAACGAGTCGGCGAAGCTCAGCCTGTCCCTCGGCGGTGTGGAAGTCTTCTCTCTCGGCAAGCTGCTCGATCCTGCGCTTGAACTCGGGGTCGACCACGGCGGGGACCTCCTGAGCTTGGTCCATGGTGCCGAGCGTCACGGCAAGGCCTTCGGGGACGGGCGGCAGCTCGGCCGGTGGGGCGGCGGTCTCGGCGGACTCGCTCTGGTGCGCCTCGACGGCGTCGGCCGTCCGGTGCGACTTGACGCTCTTCAGGTACTCGGCGATCTCGGGGAAGTCTCCTTCACCTTCGATCTTCTGCGCAGCGGTGATTCCCTCGGAGCCCTTGGCGTTGATGTCCGCACCGAGCTCTTCGACGAGACACTTGGCCGCGTCGACTGTCTCGACGACAAAGAGCGCCGTCTCCTCGTCCTCGTCGCGGATGTTGACGTCGACATTGAACTCGCGGATCAGGGCGCGGAGGAGCTCGAGGTGGTTGTAGCTTGCGGCGGCGTGGACGAGGGAGTAGCCGTGCTCATCCTGGCCCGAGGCGATGGCGGGGTTCTCGCGGAGGAGGGCCAGCAGGGCCGTCGGGTTGTCGGCGGCAAGGAGGTACGGGTTGGGAGACATTGTTTCGTTCTTTTTGGGTTTCGGATTCGCAGGGTAGGTGTGTAGCTCCCTGTAATCCAATCTCGGCTTCGTGGAGATTATGAGGCCAAAATATGCGGTCGGTCGTGGCGCAGTCTGACTACTGTTTAGCTTTCGAAAATTGTCCGTCTGTGAGAAAAAACACCAGGAAATTTTCTGCCATGCGGGGAGCTCCCGGTGTGACGCACAATCAGGTAGCAACCCCTCTGAATGCGCTGTGACCGCCTTCCGCTTGCGGCCAGAATCGCGCACCTCCAGGGGTGTTGTGCCCCTCCAAGCGCCAAAAGATTGCAGCAAGGGCATCGACAACCCACGCCACTTCCTGCGGCTCGTTCAGCCCCTCCAAGCCTGCAAAAGCGCATCTCACTTTCCGTACCTGGACACCCGTATTACATTTAGATCTCACCTCAGGCAGCAGCACCGCAATCTCCAGGATTGTGCGCGTGAGCCACGGTGTGACTGCTACTTTCAGCCTTCCTGAGGACTCTTCAAAAGTGAAGCCACACGCCTAACTGAGGCCATTTGGGAAAGAGGTTGGAGCGGTTCGTTCTAACTCTGGACAGGGAAAGTGACTCACCTCCTGTTCGTGTGTCCCGTCGTCTGTAGCTCCTTTTTTCCCCATCCAACGGTCAGGAATCGGCGGCTCTCTCTGTTTCTACAAAAATCAGATCGTCTCCCACCTATTTTTGGGACGCAACTTCAAGTGAGACCGTCACTATCACATTATTTGGTCTTCCACACCAAAGACCAAAAGGGACGAAGACGACAAGCCGCCGCCTTCTTCTTCATGTTCATCGCCCACAGGGCTCATTCTCTGTTTCATAGACAAGCTTCCCTCAGAATAACTCACATTTTCACTGCTACCATGGCCACAGCAGTGACAGCCGAGGCAGTGATGCCCAAGGCTCCCTACATCCCCCAGGATGTCCAGCAGGTGTCCTCCATGGTCAAGGCGCTGGAGGCTGCGACGAAGAAGGGCGGCAAGGAGAAGGGCGCTGCCAGCTTCTCCTGCAAGAAGAACTCTTTCTCCGTCAAGGGGTCCCAGGATGGTATCAAGGTGGACTCCTGGAAGATGCAGGAGTGGGACTACAAGAAGCGCGGCCTGCCCACATATGCCCGCGGCCTCTTTACAACGAGAAACCGACAAAACGAGCACGAGATCGTGACCCGCGGTTACGACAAGTTCTTCAACGTCGAGGAGGTCCATGAGACAAAGTGGGAAAATATCCTCAGCAGGACAGCCGGGCCTTACGAGCTCACCCTCAAGGAGAACGGCTGCATCATCTTCATCTCAGGTTTGGAGGATGGCACACTACTGGTGTGCAGCAAGCACTCCACCGGAGACCGCGCCGACGCCGAGCTCAGCCACGCCACTGCTGGTGAGCGTCTACTCGAGAAGCAACTAGCTGCGATCGGCAAGACGAAGGAGGATCTGGCCCGGGAGTTGAGGGATCGTAATGCCACAGCAGTAGCTGAGCTTTGCGACGACTCCTTTGAGGAGCACATTCTCGAGTATGGCCCGGACAAGGCCGGTTTGTACATCCACGGAATCAACCTGAACCTGCCAGAGTTCGCAACATACCCCAGCGCCGTAGTCCAGAGCTTCGGAGACACGTGGGGCTTCAAGCAGGTCGGGTTAATCGTAATGGACGACGTCAACGAAGTCAAGAAGTTTCTTGAAGATGTGGCAGAGACCGGTGCCCACGGCGGCCGCGACGTAGAGGGCTTTGTCATTCGCTGCAAGGAAAGCTACAATCCAGAGAAGGCTGCCTACCGCGACTGGTTCTTCAAGTACAAGTTCGAGGAACCTTACCTCATGTACCGACAGTGGAGAGAGTGCACAAAGGCCATGATCTCTGGCCGCCCACCAAAGTACAAGAAGCACGTCAAGATTACCGAGGAGTACCTTCTCTACGCCCGCCGTCGCCTCCAGGCAGACCCCCAACTCGGCAAACTCTACCAGCAGAACCACGGCATCATCGCCCTCCGCAACGACTTCCTCGCCTTCAAGAACATGAAGGGTTCCGACGCAGCTAACCTCGAGCTCGAAGAGCCCTCCAACGTCAACAGCGATGTCACTGGCGACGTGATCCTCTGCCCCATCGCCACCATCGGATGCGGCAAGACAACGATCGCGGTTGCTCTCACGCAACTCTTCAACTGGGGTCATGTTCAGAACGACAACATCTCGGGCAAGGGTCGTCCTCCCCGCTTCACCAAGATGGTATTGGACCTTCTCAAGGACACGCCCGTCGTTGTTGCCGACCGGAACAACGCCCAGAAGCACGAGCGAAAGCAGCTCATCACCGATGTCAAGCTCCAGCATAAGACCGCCCGCCTCGTCGCTCTCTACTTCAACCACGATGACAGCAATGTTGACGAAGTCCGCCGCATCACCCAGGAGCGTGTACTCGCCCGCGGTGACAACCATCAAACCATTCATGCTGCCACGGATGCCGAAAAGTTCCTTGGCGTGATGGAAGGGTTCGTCAGCCGCTTTGAGCCCGTCTCCGCCTTCTCTCCTCCAGACAACGGCTTCGACAACGTGATCCATCTCGACCCTACCGCTGGCAGCCGTGTCAACCTCGAAAGGGTCATCACTGAACTCCGCAAGATGTACCCCAACCTTGTCCCCGAGGTGCCCTCTGCCGAGCGCCTTGACGAGGTCATCCAGTCCGCCTTCATCGAGTACAAGCCCGAGTTCAAGCAGAATATCCCTGATCGTGGCCCCCGCAAGCAGCCTCAGCAGCATCAATCCAAGAAGCCGAAGAAGAAGCCCCTCGAGTACATGTCCGTCGACGTCCCGGCCCAGGAGGTTCGTGGCGTCCTCGACGGCGCCTTCAACAAGGCGGGCATGCCTCTCGCGCGCTTCTACAGGCAGCTTGTCCAGACACGTCGGGTACAGCCCAAGTTCCACGTTACTCTGATGCACCGCGTAAGCGCCAAAGAGCACCCAGAGTTGTGGCAGGAGTACCTTAGCACCCACGCCGCTGCAGAAAGCCAGGTCGAGAACCAGGCCGACATCCCTTCTTTGGGCCAGTGCGATGTCGACATGGAGCGGGTAAGACTCACACACAACCCTCCTACTGTGATATAGAGACTAACCGACACAGGTGGTATTCGACGACCGTATCATGGCGATCGTCGTGCGCCTCGTTGACCCGAGCAATTCGGGCTTCTGGAGGTGCACCAATGCTGTGGCCCACATCACGGTCGGCACGCGCGACGACACCGTTAAGCCCAAGGAGAGCAACGACCTGTTGGCGCGCTGGCTGGAGCAGGGTACTGGCGAGGAGACAGGTATCAACGAACTGGTCTTTGACAACAAGCCGAACTTGCATGGGGTTGTCCGGGGTGTCCTTTCCAGATAGCGTCCTCCCCAGAGGAAGAACCCCAGAAAGTAGGCGTTTGTCAAGTGAACATGGGAGGTCGCATAGCATGGTAATGAGGACATGAGCTTAACTCACATGAATAGCTAAGATATCAAAAGTCACAATTTGTTTTACGCAGTGCATCCAACTCAAGAATCATGGTTACGAATGGAAAGGTGAGGAAGTTGTTGGTGCACATCACAGAAACAATCAGCCGCAGATTCGCATTAGTTACACGTGCGCAGGCAGAGTTAGGCAAATTATCATCTTATGCTTCATTCCGAATTGATAGTGTACAGTCCTGGGCCCCAGAAGCAGAAGGGGCAAACGAAAAATAGTCCGATGCCAACACTACCCATGGGTCCTGAAGGTAAAACAACCCTCGAACCATGCCAAAGCCAAGTGCAAAGTCGTTAAAAGCAAGCCGGAAACCCAAATTTTGTCATCCGTCGTAAGTCCGTGGCTTGTGAAGCCACCTTCACCATCGTGATAGTGTTAGATAGGTAAGAGTTGAAGATACATTTACAACTCCTGCTTGGCCTTCTCCTTGGCCTCGCCAGCCTTCTTCTGAGCAGCGTCGGCGCCAAGACCGATCTGGTTCGTAACCCAGTTCCAGGCGCCCTTGGCATTCTCCTCGATCTTAGCGAGAAGAGTTTCGGAGGGAGTCGAGGTACCGTACTTGAAGTACGTGTACTGCTTGCGGGCGTAGGCACGGAGTTCATCGACTGTGGAGGTCTGGGGAACATTGACGCCGTAGCTGTCAAGGTAGGACTTGAGCTCACTCTCGCTCCAGGTGTCAAAGACGCTGGACTTGGCGGAGTCGGTGGCGGCACTGAGGTAGCTGGTGACGGAGGCGTAGCTGGTACCGCCGGCAGAAGAAGCAGAGCTGTAGGCAGACTGA